ATTTAACCATTATATATTGTTTCTTTTAAGAAATAATACTATAACAGCCTCAACCGGGCGGCGAAGCCGCCCATATCCGCATCCTCTAGTTATATTCCATAAAAAGAAAAAAATATACGCCCTGTTAGTAATGGTATAATGTATTTATTTATTTTTTTAATATTACTATCATTTGCTATTTCATGTGACCTAATCGCACACATTCACTTTCGACCTCTGTTTTCCCAGAGCAGCACACATTTCCTATTAATAAACACCCTCTCTCCCTCTTTTTTTTTTTTTTATTCTTGCTTCTCCGAACGCTTCCGAAAGCAGTTCTTCTCGCTGTGACTGACTCTTTTGCATATAATGCATGCATGAATTCTACCGCAGTTTTTCTCCTCGGGACATGATCGACGGTTCCAATTGATGCAAATTTCCTTCCCGTTGATCCATTGTCTATTTGTCCACATAGTACGGCGCCACCCCTCTCTAACTTTTTTCGCTGTTGTTACATCGAAGCTCTTACCTTCTGCTTTGATGTTCCTTTCAATTAGAGTTGAGTCACGATCCATTACTAATGCCACTCTCCGCTCTTCATCATACTTCATAACTGCAGCAAATTCATACTTAACGCATAGCTCATTTATGTGATCTCGGTATAAGTTCAGCTCTTGTTCCCAGTTTTCGTATATTACTAAAACCGCATCTATGTAAGCCTTGAATGCCAGAAGCCATTCTGATATATTTTCAAATACTACAGTGCGCTTCCTTTTTCTTATATATATTGCACCGCCATCTGCCATTTCCAATGTTGTATCGTTGTCCATATCTTTAACACTATCAATTAAACTTTTCTGCATAAATTCTTGCAGATTTACAAATGCACCAAATGTGATGGTCTTCCATAATTTGTTACTCAGACTAGGCTTTTGTGGAAGCATTTCTAGTAATCTTTGCCCTTCCGTCCAATTCATGACCCACCACAGCCGGATTCGCTCTGTCTCAGCAGCTTTTGAGTTTTGAAAACCTTGGACTGTAGGAATTTCTTTGACTACTTCGTAGTTTATGGCTGGGTATTTTCTGGCCGTTGGTTTATATGTCCTAACTCTGTCCACACCTACTTCCTCCAAACTTGCTTTGAGAATCAGATTGTTGATAACTGGGGATGAGGGATAATTACCTTGTGGTATACTCATGTCTCTATCGATCTCAACAGTGCTCTGCTGATTCCTTTCCTCCGTGGTTAGGCCACAGTCATTGCCCTGGCTACCGCTGTTGCTGTTGTTTTGTAAATTCATTTGTTCTAGTCGCTCAAACCTTTGGCTAATTGCTTCGATTTGCCGGTCCATTAGCTGCTGCATGTTTCGCATTAAAGCTTCAGCTGTTGATTGAATTACTGTGTCTACGTATGCCCTCGTTTGATTATCTATACCACCATACACATCTTGAACGTCCTGGTTTAGGCTTGAAGACGGAGCTACTGTCTCCGCAGATTCGTTAGAAACTGAGCTTTCATTTCTTATAAATCCTGAGTTCCGAGTGATCTTCTTGCTCATCTTGCGAATTTTTCTTCCTTTCTGAGCCCCACCACCACCCGCCCAGCCTTCTGTGCATTTATACTTACGATAATCTTCGTTATATTAGACTTCACGTGAAATGTCCTAATTAGGCAACTGATTAATTACTTATCTTCGCCCTACGCCTCCCTCGAATTTGGATGGTGATTGAACCGGTTTTTCTCCACTGACAACTTGGATTCCTTGTGATTGTCGCCACCCAGGTCGGTCTCCCTACTTAGCTCCCTTTTCGATCTGTTGACTGCACCCGTCAACTTGAAAGATATCGATATACTGTACTAAAATTGGACATTGTTACCAAAATGGATGTAATAAACTATGTACATGCGGTATTTTACCGAGAAAATAAAGGGATTATTTACAATAATATAAAAAATAAAATTTTA